GAACAATGTGAGAGGTGCTGCCTTAGGAAAACTCCAACCGCAGGGGTCAGGGCCCCCCTGGTCAGTATCCACAGCAGTGCCCCCTTGGAGCTAGTTTGTGTGGATTTTTTGACTCTTGAGAAATCAAAAGGTGGTATCGAAAATGTCCTCGTGGTCACTGACCATTTCTCACGCTATGCGCAAGCATACCCCACTAAAGACCAAAAAGCCAGCACAGTGGCTAGGGTGCTGTATAGAAACTTTTTCTGTCGGTTTGGCTTCCCAGCAAAACTGCATGCAGACCAAGGGCGCAATTTTGAAAGTGCTGTGGTGAAGGAGCTGTGTAAATGCACCGGCATCACTAAGACCCACACCACGCCCTATCACCCACAGGGCAACGGGACAACTGAACGGTTTAACCGCACCCTCATGAACATGCTGGGGACGCTAGAACCTCACCTGAAACCCCGGTGGCACGAATATGTGGATGCAATGACACACGCCTACAACTGCACCCGCCATGATTCGACAGGGTACACACCATACTACCTGATGTTTGGCAGGCATCCACGGCTCCCTGTCGACTTGGTCTTTGGGCTGTCAACCACTAATGGGTCGGGGGGATATAGCGATTATGTCCAGACCCTGCATAACTGCTTGTCACAGGCTTATGCACAGGCTAATCAGGCCTCTCGCCAGGCTAAGGGTCACCAGAAAAGATACTATGACCGACAAGCAAAGAGTCAAAGCTTCAGCCCGGGTGACAGAGTCCTGGTTAAAGTGTGTCATGTGGAGGGGCGAAGCAAACTAGGAGACAAGTGGGAGTCCCGTCCATACATTGTGGTGAAGAAACAGCCAGACATGCCGGTGTATGTGGTGCGATCGGAAAATGGTGATACAGAGAGAGTGGTCCACCGCAACCTACTCACGCAGTGTATGTTTCTTCCCGTGGAGCAGGTGGGAGAGGAGGCAAGAGAGGAAATGGAGCTTGACGTGGAGGAGATTCATGGAGGAGGGATTGAGGACATAGAGGACAGTGGAGAGCAGGCTGGTGAAGTAATCAGACAGGATGAAGAGTCGGACATGATCGAGGACGGGGAGGCTGATAGCCTGGAAGGAGGTGTGGAGGGAGTTTCACCTGAAGCAGCAAATGGATCACTTGCCCCCAAGGGACCAGAGGAAAGGGACACAGGGACAGGACAAGAGAGTGAAGATTGGAGGGGGAATGAAACTGTCAGGGTCACCCACTCACCTCCCAGACCAAGTGAACCAAGGAGGAACTTGCCAAGGAGTCGGAAGATAGAAAGGGGATGGAAGCTGTGGCAGAGGGCCAAAGCAAGAAGGGCTGCAGGAAACACATAGGATACACACATAGACATTTTCGCATTACACTGCACATCTTCCACCACCGTTATTCTTGTATACATAGTGAGACTGTTCTGTTTTATTTTGTTTTGTTTGATGACTGGGATGCCATCACTTAAAGGAGGGGCGGATGTAAGGTAGTGACTGGAATAAGTCACAAGGTGTCGCTGTTGAGCTGCATATATGGTGTAAAATTTAGCAATTTTGACCATTTGTCCTCTGCAGGACACCGTACTTCAGATTTCTTGTTCGCGCGGGCGCCATCTTGGTTCAGTGTTTGCTGTGATTCAAAAAGGGCCAGCAGCAGAGTTGGAGTGGTGTTTGCCCCTGCTTCCGAATAAACGGCACGGTCCGAGCCACAAATCGAGCGCCTGTGTCCGACTGGTCTCTCTGCGGTGCACCCCAATCCAACACAAACTGCTGTCAGACTCCATAATAAAGACTTTAACTGATCAAGCACACACATCCATACATATGCAATAATACTAAGTGCAATAATCCTTTCTGTCATCGTTGTATTTTTACTCAGTTGTATATAGTATTTGTATTTGTATTCTATTTTTATCTTATTGTATATTTATTTTATTTTATTCTACTGTATATAGTATTTTATTTTATTCTATTCTGTACAGTTGTGTACTGTATTTATTCTTATTGTATTCTAATTTTTGCCTCATAACTTTTGCACTGTCCACTTCCTGCTGTGACAAAACAAATTTCCCACGTGTGGGACTAATAAAGGTTATCTTATCTTATCTTATCTTATCTTAAAAACTAACACAACGCAGAGTCCGGGGTGTAGGGAGGCCCCTGCACTGGTTGGGTTACATGACAATGATGTACACTGTCTTGTTGGTATATATGCACAAGTCTAATAAACTTAAACCTACACCATCCTCCATATTCTGGTATTCTAAATCGTACTTAGCAGAAACCAAAAGACTGCTTGGTGGAGTTAACCTCCTAAACTATCTACAACACATGGTGGAAACCTGACATTAAGGCTACGTTCACACTGCAGGCGAAAGCGCATCAAATCCGATTTTTTTGACCCTATGCGACCCATATCCGATCATGGTATGACAGTGTGAACGGCACAAATCCGATATTTTCAAATCCGATCTGGGTCACTTTCGTATGTGGTACTGAATCCGAAACATATCCGATGTTCCAGAAAGCGACTGCTGTTTGAATGGTCATGTCGCATTAAATCCGTCTTTTACGTCACTGACACAAGACAGACACCAATTATCAGTGCCAGAGAAGCGCCTGATAAGACATCGCGAACGCTTCCTGGCCATCCGGTGAAACTGCTGGGAAGACAACGTTGGAGAAACGTTAACATTTGATTTGGACTGCATAATCTGCAGATTCTGACAGAAATGTGCAACTATCATTTGAAGCACCGCTCCTCTAAAACAGCAATAAGGATAATTATTAGGTTATTTACATTATTATGTAAATAACAAAATAACTTATAGCAAAAATTGGGAAACGTAATGTCCGAAGTCTTTATTAAGGGCCATCAGTCAAACAATATTGTTTGCTCTGGGTCTAAACAGAGCGCGTTGTGTGTGACATCTTCTTTTGCGCATGCGGGCCGCTTTGAGCGTTCACACTAGAGCGCGTTTGCTGTTGCATTTTATTTGTAGTGTGAACGAGCAGACAAAAAAATTGGATTTGATCAAAAAATCGGAATTGAGCATTAAGACCTGCAGTGTGAACGTAGCCTTTGACAGAGAAGACTAAAGGTGAGAGAAGTAATATTAATATTTTCTCTCAATACATGATGATTCCGTTTTTACAGAACGGTTGGCAACTCTAATAACTAATTGTGAATAAAATAAATCAGTAATATCATAGCACCCGTCTAGCAGTATAAAAAATCCGTCATGCTAGCTGGTACGCAGTACGAGTTATTTTAACTGGGAGGAAATAAAAATGTGAAAATAAACTACAACTAAACTTGGTTTATATCTGACCCACTCAGACCAACTTCTCACCTGCCCCTCGGACCGGCCGCGCCTCATGTCTCTCCTCCTCCTGCCTCCCTTATCCCTGATCCACCTGCTGGCCTCCACCCCTTGCTAATGTTACTGAAACTGTGGAAGCTCCGCCATAGAAAACAACTGAGTTCTCTTTACACATCTGCCAACATCTGGCCAATCTGGCCACCACCTGTCATTATTTATACCGTTACAAAAAACAAAGCAAAACGAAACGAAAAATCCCCATCTGCCCACCAGGCAAATGCCCAGTATGCCCCGTGGCCGGTCCAGCTATGCTCACTACTGCTAGTACTGCTCACTACTGAATTATACTGCTAATTGGGAATAAAATTGATGAACGCCAGAAAATAATTTGGATCATGTCTTTATGAGACGTAATATCATCATCTGAGCTCTGTAAAGCTATTTAAATATTGCTAGATTATTCTCCTCCCTTAACAAACATGCTACTTCTATCTATACAGAAACTTGGTGGCTTACTGTATAAGTCACATTTATAAGGAAAAGATTCATAATCAGGGAAGATCATAATCGGGGTATGTCCACATTAATAAGTGACAGAGAGCGGAACTAACAGCCCTCCCGTTGTTCAATAAAAATGATTTAAATATAGCTCATCCGAGGGTTACTCACACTTTAACGATGGTATGGAAACCAAAGGATCCACAGAGAAAATGTGTTTTCTTAAATTGTGTAATCTGTAGTCTATGAGGCAATAAACCAGCTTTGTCCCGGTGTGACTGATTTCGAAATGGGTTGTTTCCAAACGCGAACATGGGTACGTGAGGAACTCTGCGCAAACCACGCCTCTTTGTCAGAGATGACGGTATCACGTTCCCTGGTAGCAAACGAGTATGTCACGCTTGTTACCTGTGAGTGAAACGGTGAAAAAGCTCTCACCGATAGAGTCTACGCATCGTTTGTACGTGTATTATATGAAACTGAACCAGAAAGCAATTTCCTCGTAGATCGGGTAAGTCATTTATAAAAGTATCATATTTTACCAGATGATGCGGTAAAAACAGCTTAATCTTCGCTGATGTTATTTTCTTTATTATCTTATAAGTGAATAGAAATGTTATCACAAAAGAGACATGGCTAAGTGTGTTGTAATGTTGCTTTATATATGATGACTTTCTAAACTATAACTTGTTACACTTTGCTGATTATATCACCACACACTCTGTTAATGTTTCCCAGTCAAACATCTAGAATGATTTCAAAATTTAAGGTACTTGTTTTCCTGCTGTTTTTCACTGGTATTGGTGTGTATTTCAAAACGGGCTACCAATTGACTCATTATGCTGTGGACCAAAAGCTGTGTGCTTGCATAAAATGTTTATCAGAGGATAAGCAGTTGCTTCTGGATCGATCGAATAGAAGTGTTCAACCATTTTTGACTGCAAACTTAAACCTCTCACAGAATGAATTCAACTGGTGGAAGGTAAGTAGTCACCAGGAAAGGATGACATTTTTACACACACCCCTCCAGCTCATTTGGTCTAACAACAAAGTCTAACAAATGTCTGACAGGATTTGCAGGCTGAAAGCCGTAGCTTCAGAGTTTATGAAACAACAGTGGCCAACTTGTTTCAGATCTTCCCACAGAATCCAGATGTTATACAACCCAAATATGATCACTGCAGGACTTGTGCTGTGGTGGGTAATTCTGGTAATTTAAGGAGATCGCATTATGGACCGCTGATAGATTTACATGAAGTTGTCATAAGGTACTTTCTAAGCTAAAGCAATTTTTCTTTACCATTAAATTCAAATTCAAATTTTATTTGTCACGTACACAGTCATACACAGTACGATATGCAGTGAAATGCTTAGATATGCAGTGAAATGCAGTGAAATATCCCCTCCTACACAAAAGATCCAAACTGATGTGAAATATATCCCTTTGTGCTTTTTAGAATGAACACTGGTATTACCAGAGGCTTTGAAAAAGACGTTGGAAACAAGACAACTCATCGTGTCATGTATCCAGAGAGTGCTGTGGATTTGGATGACAACACCCATTTTGTACTGTTTCCCTTTAAGATACAGGACTTTGAGTGGCTCATTAATGCCTCTACAACAGGATTTACTGGAAGGTGAGTTCTCTTTTTCAGGGCTACATGCACATGTATTTGACATTTATTTAACGAGACTCAGTGTCTCATTTACAAGAGACCTGTTTTAGACAACATAATTAAATGAAAATAATAAAATAGAAAAAATAAAATAGCAAAATCTGCCTCATTAAGATCAAGTTCCCAGTGATGAAAATCAGCACTGGGACGTCTTTTAAATCTACAAGCAAAATCAGTTAAGCGAGAGAGCTCAAAGTCTTTCTGTAATGTATTCCACTAAGACAGACCTCAAATGATGGCACCTTCTTAATAAGCTCACTACAAACTGATTATCCTGAAATCATACTATGACTACATTTTTATGCAACATGCAGACAGATGAAGTGTCCTCATAACAACTCATCTTACTGTAGTTCATTTAAGTATGCTTTTGTACTGTTCTTAGGATTGTGACTTAATATAAAGTAAAAATAAAAAAATTGAATAAAGACTCTTAATGCTTGTTGAAAAGTTATTTTATGTGAACCATTTTTAGGCAGTTGTGCAGCCACTAATTTGGGCACATGAAAATCATACAATCATTTTGTACTTTATTTTGTTTCAGATAAAATATTCTGATTTCATCTGAGCTTGCCCAGCTTAGGTTTAGATGTTACAGTCAGCATACACTATCTTCTTCTCTCCCAGCTGCTAAAATTACCGACACCTGCTACTAAGCAAAGTATCTCAAAAGATTTCCCCTAGATCGTCTTGCAGTACAGAATTTACATCAAATGCAAAAATAGAATGCCACTGCATGAATTCAACATGTATGCAGATTAAAAGGATTTGGCTGATGGATGTAGTGTGAGATGAAATAAGGTGAATTTCTGTATCAAACCATTACTCTGATCCTTCTCCATGTTCAAGACGGACCATGCCTTTTTTAGCTTTGTTTTTGTTAAACACCTACTTCATATTTTTCAATGTCATGCTGTTTCCAACAGGTCATATATGCCAGTGAAATCAAAGATCAAAACTAACAAGGATTTGGTGAGTAGCGTCAATGGCAAAGCTTCCTGGTGGCAATGGTAATATTTAAAAATAAAAGCTGTTTAAAGGCTCATTCTAATTTCTAACAGGTCATGGTGGTAAATCCAGCTTTTATGAAATATGTACATGAGGTTTGGCTTGGAAATAAGGGACGTTATCCATCCACTGGCTTTATGGCTTTGATTCTTGCACTTCACATTTGTGATGAGGTAAGTACAAAGTTTTCAGTCTCCGAAGTGCCAGACGTACAAAATAAAATATGATTTTTATTGTCATACAAGCTGGTCCATTTGAGTCTTTGCTAATTTGTTCTTTTGTTCTTATATTGCTCTCCTAAATAGATGTGCATTTCAAAAGTTCAAAATGTCTTTGGTGAAGATCAGAGCAGGTTTACCCACCAGTACCACTTGATTAAAAAACTCTGGTTTAATCTGTGAATGGTTAAATTTCAGTTCACATGCCCTATGAAAGTGAAAGCTGTCGCAAGTATTTCTGATGTGTCCCCTTCTTAAATTGACTAGACTACAATCTAGAAGACATTCCTTCATGGAAAGCTTTTTAGCTAAACCTCTCAATAAGAGGTTTTGTCATTGTATACTCATGGTATAATCATAGTGTTTCCATTTAGTGCTCAGGTCGCTGTCCAACTGTTCATTTCATTTTTCAGCAGCCATTGTTTGGATTTTAGTTAAAAAAGGGACATTTTGTTCATGCATTTGTTTCCCATTCATTCATATGTTCATTTTTTGTCTTCCTAGGTTAATGTGTTTGGTTATGGCGCTGACAGTGATGGAAACTGGAGTCACTACTGGGAAATACTCACAAACAAAAGGTTAAGAACTGGAGTACATCCTGGAAATTATGAGTATAACATCATCCAGCAACTAGCTCAGCAACAGAAAATTAAGTTCTATGAAGGCCTAATGAAAAAAATGTGATTGAATGCCATACACTCAGTAAGGGAAGAACTGAAAGCCAAATGGATGTGTATCTTGTTTGCTTGAGAGTTATATGTGTTGTTGTAAAATGTAAGAGCTATATCTTAGAAGTGTGTTTTATTGCTGGTAAAGAGTAGCATCATAAGTAAATGATTATGATGGTAATGTTTAGTCTTCTCAATTGAATGGAATAGGCCATAGGAGAACATTGTATTTGGATAGCTTGAACCAGAACTAGTGATGGCCAAACGAAGCTTTCTGAAGCATTGAAGCTTGTGTTAAAAACGGTTCATTAATCGAAGCGTTTTAAGATAGTCCTGTCTGGTGACATCTGGTGGCCAAAAATATGAAGAACGTCTTGAATGTAGAAATTAAAGTGTACTGCTTCATTATTATGACTGCCCACTTTACAGAGTGGACTTCACAATTCTGTCTGATAATGGGCTACCCTTGTGTTGCTTTGAACATGTATTTTTTGGCTGTTTTTTTTTCTATTTGTTTAATAAATATATTTGATCAATAAACTTCTTTTTAGTTAAACATGTACCATGGTGTGGTTGCTCTTTGCTCGATGTTGGTAAATACAATAGATTAAAAAATACATGTAATATATATATATATATTAGGGGTGCAACGATATTCGTATCGATATTGAACCGTTCGATACAGTGCTTTCGGTTCGGTACGCATATGTATCGAACAATACAAAATTTGTAATTTATTTTATCAACTTTCCTTCTGACGATGCTGTCTGTGTTGAGCGCTCAGTGAATCTGCGTTCGACTACTCCGCCTAGGGTCGACAGTGCAGCCTAGGCGGAGTAGTCGAACGCAGATTCACTGAGCGCTCAACACAGACAGCATCGTCAGAAGGAAGAGCGCAGGGCAAGCTAGCGAGACAGAAGTTAAGCTCTCCTTACAACATGGACCTCCCCTACTCTCATTCAGATCTGGCGTTTGCAATTATTTTGGTTTTCATGTGACGTATGACCCTGAAGGTAAGCGAGTCATGGACTAAAGTAAAACAGTATGTTGGATGTGCCATGCAATGCTTAATTACATGGGTGGGAACTAGTGTGTTAGCGCAGTTAGCTCGTTAACGTGTTGGCCGTCTAGCCCCATGCACGGGGTGATCCGCGGTAGCTCGTTAACGGAGATTTGCCGTGTTGTGGCGTTAAGGTCATTTCAACGAGATTAACCTGAAAGCACTAGTGGGAACACAACGAATATGACTGCACATTTACGCCGACATCATCCTAGTGCAAAGACAAGTGGAAGCAGAAAAAAAACAAGCAAGCATGCTACTAACTTTAGCCGAGTCATTTAGACAGCTGTTTAATATGCTGCTGAGAATATAGCCCAGAAGAAGCAGATAGTATAGCTTTTATTTTGGAAAGAGACATTTCTCTGTAATAAACTCTCTTTTCCAAAGATGAGTGATTCCTCAATCAGATACAGGGCTCGCAATATCGCTAGCCCAATGTCCCGGGGCTAGCGATTTTTTCAGTCGGGGTACCAAAATCTATCTCTGCCCTGCCCGTCGGGCTATCGTAGGAAGGAAAAATATATGTCAATGCTTTTGCATTCTTTCGGAAATGTAGCTGGGTAATTATGTAATTGGCATCGGTGAGCCACTGTCAATATGTGACATATTGAAATCGCGTTTGAATTTGCGCTTGTTTTTTTGCTTTCACTTTGCAATCGCGCGAACTGTGTATAGAGAGCGACAGCACTGATCTGTGAGTGATGATAATTTGCGCACCAATTCCTCTGACATCGTCTTATTAATCGTTAGCTTACTATGCAAACATGACAAGTGAAATCTCCCGCAGCTTAAACATGTGAGAGGTTGATCGCGCAGAGAATCGCTGAGCTTATGTGAGTGCGTGTGTAAAAGCAGCAGGATTTATATTTGACTACGATGACCTGGATGACTGAGAACCTTCACAGACAGATATATATTTTAGTTCTGCTGAGCCAAATAAGACAGGTCAGGGTGAAGAAGTGACAGCCAAAGAAAAGCTTACCACAAAACGGAAAAGTTATGACAAATCAGACTATAAGGCAAAAAGAAAGTGCAGCTTTATGGTTTCATGGACAAAATAATTTCTGTGGCTGCAATATGACGAGCTAAATAACCAGGGCTGCACATAAGTGGTCCGCAGGTGCGCATTCGCTGTCAAAATAAAAAACACGCACAAGGTTAGGGTTAAATTTAAAAACTGTACTTTTGAGTTAAAATATATATTTATAATTTTAATAAATGACAAATTAAAAAGGCATGAACATTTTTTTGTATCGAAAAAATATCGAACCGTGACACCAAAGTATCGAACCGAACCGAACCGAACCGTGAATTTTGTGTATCGTTGCACCCCTAATATATATATATATATATATATACACATGTAATATATATATATATACACACATAGATATATATATATAGATATATATGAGATATATATATATATATATACATGAGCGAGACAGGTAAATATGAAGGCATGCTGGCTCGGACGTCGCCCGGATCAACAAGGTCCGTGTCAGGTGTTGAGGAACCAGGGCACCCTGACGAAAAGTGGGCTACTGGAACAAGAAGGCATCGGTGGGCAAGAGACGAAAACAGGGCGTTGTTGGAATGCTACTACGCAAGTAACCCCGGCGGAAGCGGCTACATGAATAGGATGATGGACCTATGGATTCTTCGATACCCAACATCCACAATGACGGCGAAACAAGTAGTAGCTCAGTGTTCCAACATTCGAAAGAAGGGACTGCTCTCACGTCTCTGCGTCGGCGTTTGCGGCCTCCAGGGCCAGAGAACAAAGGCGTCTCAGGTGAGATGAATGGGGGGTCTGCAAACGGAGCGTCCGTGTTGCAAAACTTGAACTCCGGAAAGTTATAAGAAAGACCGTCTTTTATGTCCAGTAAGGTTTGTCGGTCGTACACAAGGAGACGTGCTACTCGTGAAAAAATGAAGGAAAAGTAAAATTAAACACAGAAAAAAGCTGTTGCTTGGGGAGCTCGCGACGAGGCTGCCATACTCGGCGCCATCTTGTTCAGTAACCGTGCAGTGGATCCTGCTTGTGCCGTGATATTCAGGACTGCAAACCGAGCAGCATCACCCACTTTCAGCTTGTTGTGTTTGTGGATATATGACTGACTTTAATTATCCATAAAACCATCACATTCTCTGTAAGTTTAGGGCCAACTATATATATATTTTGAAGTAGAGGCTTTAAAAACCAAGTTAACGCTGAAAGTACAAACATCACTAATGTCACATAACTTTGCCGACATGTGGCCAACAGTAATGTTTTAATGTTCTTCATTATTAAACATTCGCACATAAATAAGTGACATCATATTCAGTACTTACTTTTGACAGTTCACTCTTCGGCCGCTCCCTTCTGCCGTATTTTGCAGCAAAATTATCCACACCCACCGCCGCGCTATGGATTGTGGGATATATGAGACCACGAAGCGTGCACCGGACCACGCTTGATATTTGGGGAAATCGACGGTGTATTTCGAGTATGCATTTGAAGTACACTTCGAATTGGGACAGCCGTCGTCGCGTGGCTGTGACATAATCGCACTCAAAATGCGTACTTCAAGTGTGCAGTCTCTTAATTGGGACACAGCCTGTGACACCTGTGCTGTAATTGTGGTTAACTTCTGCCTTCTGTCTATCAGCATTGCACATGCACGAAGGACATCCTGTTTGTACAATAATCCAGTCTAGAAATAATAGATTCATTAACAGGTTTTTCTTTTTTTTTTTTTTTTTTTTTTTTTTGCCTGTCCCGTTTGGCTCTTTTGCCATCAGAATTGTTGTCTAAAGGCAAAGAAAGATGCCCAACGGATTTACTTTACCAAATTGACCATCCCAGCCTTGCCGTAATGGTCCATTTGATTCACCTTTTATTGTTTATTTTATTTTCGCTTACTGAATACGGGACAGACTTGACTGGGGGAAAGAAGGGGAGAAAGAAAGAGGGAAAGAGAAACAGCTGAGAAGAGGGACGGGGGAGAAGGGCAAAAAACAAAAACCAACAGAATGAGCAGAGAAAAAAAAAGAAATAAAAAATGCATATATCAATCACCTGGATCACCTGCTGAGAAAGAAAAATGAAAACAAGCAGAAGAGAACAAGAGTAATAGAATAAACAGCATCACAATGATATATGGGAATATGACAGTAAATACTAAATATTAAACATTATTGTGCAGCACATAAGATCAACAGAACACAGTGTGCTTTGAGGTAGGAGCCAAAAAGGGTGTAGTTTGTGGGTGTGATCACCCGTGTGTACACCTGTGAGCATGGACGCGCTTGTTTTTTTTTTTAAAAGGTTCCTTCATGTAATGATCTGCTAGAGGGTGTGGGGGGGCCACAGCCCTGTCCTCCAGGGCATGAAGCAGGTATGGAGGAGATCAAAACTCCAGACATCCAGAGGCCCCCAGAACACAAGAGACCAAGGAAGACCAACAGAGGGGCAGCCGCGCCACTGACCCAGAAAGAGCTGAGGAGAGTCCCAGATGAGGGCTCAGTTAGCAGCCGCGGAGCAGAAGCCAGGGGGAGTTGCAGTGACGCGCCCGTGAGCTCCGCCGGCAGCCAGCCGTGCCTGAGTGACCGAGCCCCAGGCCGAGAGGCCGGGGGCACCCCACCTCCGAAGTGGCCCGAGCGAGCCCCAGGCTCCAGGCCCCGATAAGCGGCCGCCAAGGAGTGAGCCGGTGTGTACCTGGACGCCCATCCCCGGACACAAAGAACCACCAACGCACCGATGTCTGAGGGAGTCCGCCACTGGCAGGGGAAGTGGTGGTAGGGGGAGATAGGCCTCCAAACCTTGGAGGGCCTAAGATGTCCCCAGAGAGGTGGCACCTGACAGCCTGACAGCCTCCTCTGCACCCTGGTGACATACCCCTACTCCAAGGTCCTGCATGTGTGGGTGGTTGTGGTGGAGCGGGAAGAGGGAGGCAGCTGGAGATGGGGAGGGAAGGAAGGGAGGGGCAAGTGACCCCTCCCTGGGGCCAGCTCCCCCGCTGACCCCAGTAGGCACCCCCATACTCCGCGACCCGCCAGGGAAAGGGGGCCCAGGCCCATCCAGACTGGGGCCCAGCGCAGCAGCGCTTCCCGGCCCCACAGAGCCCGGGTCAGTCCACCCAACCCCACCACAGAGAAAACTGCACCCACCCCGTCATCCACTCA